ACCGCATCCATACTCAGTTGCTCAGCACTACAGTATAACCTATTGTCCCTGCAGGAGCGTGTGTAGATCACCACCTATTGTTGGGCGGTTTCACCTTATAAATCCTCACAATCCAGTTTGATGTCGTGAATGCCTCCTCCAAATGTTCTAATTTTATGTCTTTATTTCCAATTTCGACCCCCCGAGCCCTGTCGTACCTGCCACAGCCAACAACATTGAGTTAGATGAGTAAAAATTTTTAGGTCATAATAATTATTAGAACCATCAGAAAACTGAGGATACTATGCACACAGAACCATCTTAGGTTAAAAAAAGAATCAGACTACACGCAGCCTAGCACCATTTAAATCCCCCCAATGCTCCTGGTCTACTGCCTAGAGAACGCCTTGCGATATTTAAAACACCCGCGAGATATAAACGCATAATAGTGTGTTCTTTTGTAGTCATAGGTTCACATAATTACTTCAGGTGAGCGCCCAAACTTGGAGTATTATCTCAATAACACTAAGGAATTTGTACAAAATTTAAGTTGCAGACCTTTGTCATATAGACATTGATTACAACACACACACAGACGACAGTTCTGAACCACATATGTGTAAATTATGTCTTCATAAAGCGAAAAAGAAAGCACAATAAATTCAGCATTATTTAACAAATACAATCGAGACATAGACCCTGATCTGCCAAACTAAAGAAAGATCAACCAAGAAGTGAGCTTATCAAAAACAAAAGATGAGACATAAAAGAAGAGGAGATGGGGAAAAGGAGGGACAAAGGTGAACATCAAGTCAACTCACCCAGGAGGCTTCCCATATTCTGTTGTCAGTTCACCAAATCGGTAGTAAGATAGTTTATACCTAATAACAAAGTCAAGAGAACATGTTAAATAGCATATCACTCAAAATGACAGAGGTATTCCTGTGAATACAGGGCAATTTACAATATACAAACTGAACACCACATCCAAAAGTGACAAATCATAACTGTCGAGAACTGAATCTAGTCACTGGAGAAACTTTGTATATGCCAAAATTGTAGACAAAAACGCAACAAAGATAACGACATCAAGCCTTATGCTTTAAATTGAACGACTCAATTGGCAATCACAAACATAAATAGCTGACATTCATAATGGCACAAATTTATCATGACATCTCGTAATATGACTAGCATGAAGTCTTTCATTATAATATTTTTGGCTATCTGCATGATGCAGTGAAATCTACACTGATCGAGAATGGCTTCAAGAAACCATTCCAATGTTGATCATAATATATACAAAAATGAGAAACTCGACATACAGTTTCCAGAGAGAGAGAGGAAATAAAATCACTATCTTGCAATGTACAAATACAGGCCTCAACATTCATAAGTCCACAACAATGTCAGAAGGTCTAAACACTGGCTGAGAAAAGCAAGTGCAGTGTTCAGCAAGCCAAGAAAATCAACTTACATTAAACAGTTTAACATCTTCGGAGCTGCGCCTTTGTCAATGCGGTACTCCCCATTAACAAGATAGTCGGGTTCCTTAATTACAGGGAAAACTCCACCTCCAATTCTCACCATCCACAAAAATCTGTCAAAGATTTCAACATTTTGTCAGTAATGTATGTAATCAAAATCCAGTACACGAGAGAGAATGTAAAACACACAAAAATCTTAATTACATATAACTTCTTACTTGTTGATATCATCAGAAGAATAACCAGTTACACCTCCAAAAACCACTAATACATAATCAACATCCAATGATCTTATTATCTCATATGCTTCGTCCTCATAGGATGACATAGCACGTCCGACAGTAGCTATATGTGTGTTATTCCAAGTGTTATTGTCTACAATAACAGTTCTGTTCCCCATTGCAGTAATCTGATAACCATAATCCCACCATGACATCACCTTGGCTTCTGGAGGAGTGTTCTGCCTCAGCCAAAAATAAGCCTCACGATAATCATCAAAAATAACCCTGTTACCATGAGCACCCCTGGCTGCTAAAACGATTGATGGAGATGAATATGCTTCTGATGTAACCCAAGTGCAGTGAATGGCATATCTGCTAAGTAGGTAAAAAAAACCAAGAAGCAAAGCAATAGCCCCATCTCTTTGGAATGGCGGGGACTGATCCACTGAGCCCTGTTTGTGCAATGAAACAAAGTTGATTAAATTATGTAATCTATAACTACTTCAAATAAAGATTTTCATAACATTTGAACAAGTCCAAAAGAAAATGCATGCTTTTGTATGCCCTTTATGAACTTTCCCCGTCACAACGCATTTAACACCAAAGCTTTTATTTTCACAGTAATCATCGCATATTACAAGATTGCTTATATGCCACTGCCTTTCAACCAAAAGACTGGAAAAAAATGGTACCCTTTGTATAAAAGATAAGTGCATTTTTTTATACAGACTTACACACGGGCTGTTCTTTTTTAGAGCAGCCATGTGAAGTCCATCATTCTACATAGAACTTATGAGTGGCCAAGTTCATATTTCCATCTCGATCTTACAACAGTCTAGCACGAAGTTGAAGCATATGCCTTAACGTGTATTTGGAAAAGGAGACCACGAAGAGAGAGAGAGAGAGAGAGAGAGAGAGAGAGAGAGAGAGAGAGAGAGTTAAATAGAGAAAAGAAGAAAGAAACCTTCTACAATTGTAGGAAGACTAACAATAATTAATTGTTGTTAGCTGTGCAGTTGTAGGAAGATTTTCAGTTTTATATAATAAGCACTTGAAACCCACCTTAGAAGATGCTTTGGCACTAGTTGCTCCTTTACCAGAAACAACAGACACAAATTTGCTCTTTGCCCTGACAAGCTGAGTTAAACTTTTTATAGTTGCTGAGACTGCAATAGCGCTAATAAGGCATACGGCAGGTGTAGCAACAAGTATCAAGCGCACCATGACTCCAGCAAAGTACATGCTAGTGAGACCATACATCGCTATGAATATTGTGGCATCTGACAAACGCTTGAAGCAGAAATATAAACCAGCTGGGAAAAGAATTAGCAGAATATGATAATCAAACATGAATGATGACCATGCTGTTGGTTGATGCTCAGAAACGGATGCAATTATGGGGATATGATCCTTCGCATAAGTTGGATCGAGGAGAGAATAAAATCGACCAGTCCATGGAGAAATATACCCCGATGCAGTGCCAACTCCTAGCGCTATGGCACCCAAACCTACTGCACTGGTAACTGTGACTTTCAGGAATGTGTGGAACTTCTTTGGATCATTTAACAGATACTTGACCCAATCCAAAAAGTAAAACACCTGCGGCAAGCAGTTGGAATTAGCTGTGCTATAAAATCAATGCAAAACCTTCCATAAGGCAACCAGGCACATATAAATTAGAAGAACTTGAATTTTTTTTTAAAAAAAAATAAAAAGAAACTCACATAAGAGATAGACCAAGAGAGAAGCCATTTGCTCTTATACTATGATACAATATACAGGTTTCAAAATTTACAGCAACTTGTAGTCCACGCCCCACAATTAATATCATCCCGAATTTCATGGCTCTTCAAATCAGAGATGAACTCATGCAAAGGCAGAAAAAAGTCGTATATAATTCAAGTAATATAATTAATCTCCCACATAAGGTCTTGTGGGAGAAATGTCCACACACTCATGGAAGCAAATTCCATTGCTTACATCGCATTCTTATGACACTTGTAGTTGCAAATTACATCACATTACACCTTGATGAAGCCCCACATACAAGCAAAAATGATATAAACCTGGATTGCTTCTGTCTAAAAACAGTTGGTCTCTTCATGCTCAATGAGGTAGATTTCACACTAAATCTGACTTTCTCAACTCATATCCGACACTAGTTTTCACTATTGAAGATTTAGCATTTTACATTAGAATATATAAAGCAAGGTTCTCGTAAAAAATCACCAAGAACCACACAGATTCAAGCAGTGGTTACAATTTTAAGAGGATATAGTAATATCAATAATGTAACATAAAGCTGATACCTGCAACAAGAAGAACACACCCATAGCTGCCATGTGTTCGCCAGACTGCACATGTTGGAAGCCAACAAAACGAATCTGCATTGCTAGCAACATTCCCAGAACATACATGGAATTATAAGCCACATATAACCTCATTGAGTATCTCCCAGTAATCAACAGAACCATCACATATAACGGAATCAGATTAATAATGAAGACATAACCACCCCATGCTGAAACCATGTAGAAGTACCCAAAAGCTGAGGCCAGAGCCCAGGCAAGTGAGCCTGTATTCACAGCCTTGACGAATAAATAGAAAGTAAGAAGCAATGCAAATATTGCAACACCCTCATTGTCGTATGATCCCGCCACGGACCTCGAAATATAACCAGGGCAAATAGCAATAAATGCAGCTGCAACAAGCCCAGCACCGGAGTCCCATAACAGTTTCCCAAAGAAGTATGCAACAAGAGTAGTGTTGGAAGCGAAAAAAGGAGCAAGGAGCACACAAACTTCTCGGATGTGGACAGCGAACCTGTAAATGTCACAGACCATTTTAGATCTCAGCATCTGACACAAACTCAAATAGTCTAATCTTATCTAATCTTAAATTCTGTATGGTACCCGCATAACAGTAAGCACCACATTTCATCATTTATGCTCAACGAAACAACACCAGATTAAGTTGCAGTCCTCCTACTTTCTAGATCATAATATTACTACACCAACCAACATCGTCAATAATTATAAAAAATGAATCAAACTTCAATAATGAATTGAGCTTGCATACTTATACAATAAAGAATTTTAGGTATACCCTATAAAACGTAGAGTCCAGAAGATAAAAGCAGCTGTAACCATGAGCCCAGGGTACAGAGTCCCACCAATAATCCTACCAAGAGGGTACCAGCTCTCCGAATCAAACCAGTTCCAGAACTCGTAAAACCCTTTCTGAGTCAAATACTGAGTGACCCGGTAGTTGAAGTAGGGGTCAAACTCGTGGATCATGCTCTCATAGCGCAAGACGCTGAACAAACGCGTGATGAATGCGAGCACGTAAATCAGCCCGAGGATCGTGACGCGGATCAAGAGCTCCTGCTGCTTCGTTTTTAGTTTGAACGATTTCAGCAGGGAGCTGACCCCGGGGGATGCCAGTAGATCCGCCGGCGATTTCTCCATTTTCGCCGCCACCATTGGATCGGTCGGTTGGATATGGGTACGGTGTTTGGGGCGTTGGATTAGTAGCTGGGGATTAATTCAGGCATTCAGGATGAAGATGTTTGAGTCATTAAACCCTAGGGGACTTCAGATGGTCAGTGACCATAGTTGAAGTATTGGATTTGGGGTGGTGAAGGAGGAAGGCCACAAATTTGTGAATTGCCAAATTATGGGGGGTATGGTTGCAAATTCTTTTTTTTTTTTTCTTTTAGGACAAAAAATTGCAAAATTTGTGGATTAGATTAGAAGTAAGAGCACCCACCATGCTTTGGGTCTCTTAGAAAAAAATCACATGCCATGTAGGAAATAGATCTAGTCTATAAAAAAAAAGGTTTCACAATGCAACCTAGTCTAACTTATGTGGCACTAGAAAAAATAGACTAAGTCCGTCTATTTTGGACACAAGTGCAAACCCACCTAGTCATTAATTGTTCATAATTTTCTTTTTCTTTTTAATAGGCAAAACACATTTTTTTTGTATACATTTATTATTACTATATTTTTATTAGTTATTTAGTGTTCTAGACCTAATACTTTTTTGTTTTGCATTGGATAGATTTTCGATTTTTTAGCTTGAGTTTGTTCATGTTATTATGAACTTAAGTCTATTTATTTGTCACATATGCAAAAAGAGTCTCAAAGTATTGTGAGTGCTCGAAGGGTTCAAATTTAATTAACATGGCAAGCTCTTTTATTTTTATTTTTTTATTATTTTTTTTAATCAAAATGGCAAGCTTTAGATAACACTTTGTCTAGTTAAAAAAAAAAAAAAAAAAAAAA